TGATTTTATCTGAAAAGTGTGAATGTGTGTAAAAAATTACGTGTGTTTCTTTTGAAAACTTCTATGGATTGGTACATGTTGTGGTGTTTACAGTAATAGATCTAATTTTGTCTTTCTACATCAAGGCTTGTTGGTTTCTTATCATTCCTTTCAAAAATGGACAAACACCAAAAAAACAAATTGATTATCTATCTATTGTTTTTTTCCTCTTATAAGGACTAATATGGCATATGGCTAGCTCTTGTGTCCGTAGATGAAACCCCAGTTTTGGTTGCATGAGGTGGAATGAATCAAAATTCAGTGTTGCTCAAAGAGGGCTAAGTGTATTGATAGCGATGTAAATTCAGTGAACAAAATTCATAAATTGACTAGAATTGCAATATTTCAGTCCCAGAGACAGGGGTATTGCAACTAGGATATACAGTAGTTCTAAGGGAGAACAGATATAATTCTTTTTCGATATTTAACTCAATTTTATACATGGACAGTTCACTTTTTTCAGTCATTGAGCTATGTACTACGAACACAGACCTGATATTCTTAACAAGATCTAAATTTTCATATAATATTCTAACATAAAGACAAACAACCTATTGTACTTATCTGCACTTTTGTCCCACTACAACCTTAAAGCTCTATAAGAGATGTGGAGCAGCATTTTAAAAAATGGTTTGAGAATATAGCTCAAACTATATTGTTCTCTGACCATTGTCAAAAAAATTGATTTCAAAGAAAACAAAAACAAAAAAAAGAACAAAACATTACCGGTACTTAGAAACTGGTTGTTAAATAACCACTTTTTCCATACATTATGAAACATGGAGCACAAAACAACAGTACCTGTACTTATTTTGTAACATTGGATTTGCATTGATATTGGGAAAAAAGGATAATGGCAGAGAATACTGATTATTTTAAAATTAAAATTACAGAGCATTTTTCACCATTATGCAGCAAAATAACATGCTTCCCAAATTTATAATAGTTTTCACAAAATGTTGGTGCAATTCACAATTAAAAGAACGTATAAGAATTGTGTTAAGGGTTTTCACTACTTAAAATATTATATTGAAGTCTCAATCATGGCAACACCACACCTGGATTGGGGATGCATGGGCATAGGAGATCCTATTGTAAAATAAATATTAAGTTTAATTGAAACAAATTTTAGTGTTGGTTCCAGCAAGATTGTACTAATGACAGGGCTTGCAGGACTTTGTAGGACCTATGATGATAGCAGCATCTTGAGGTACTTTGTTTCCATCCTACTTTTGGTATCACATACAGCATCCAATATCAGCAACTTCAAAGGTAGTCAGCCCCATCCTCTAAGTCCATTTGAACTGGCTCAGTCTAAATCATAGAACATTAAGAAATTATAGCAAAAGTTATCTAACAACACCATGAACAATTGTTCATAGAATGTGAACGTTAAGATACTTACTTTAAGAGTAAAGGGTGCATCAGGTTTTATCTCTCCGTGGACTTCTTCTTCACCAGGTAGAACCTAAAAAATGGCGAGCAAGTTAAGTGATACCAATAGTGTAAATATTATTTTAGAATGACAGACTAACGGTTAAATAGGAAAACTTCAATTTTAGTTTTGTCCCCACTATTAATAGTAATAATAATTACCTCATAACCTGCAGAGCGAATGGCACTGACTAAAGCAGAGAGGTTGCCCTGGTTTACCAATATCTCCCCATCATCTCCTTCTTCCAGCATTTGCTGAAACTGGTTATGAAAAATGTGTTCATTAATGAGCATTCACTACTATTTTAAAGCAACTAATATTTACCCTCCCATTCTTACCTGAACATCACTATTGTCTTCAAGTATTTCTATCGCTTGCTCTTGATTTTGCAGGAGAAGAGCTGCTTCTTCTTCAGATATTACTTCATAGGTTCCATCACCCTTTGCTCTCACTAACTGAATTTCTCCACCAGTATCCATTTGCAATATTTCCGCTGCAGGATCTCCAATGAGGTACTCTTCAGTTTGATGCTCATTTTCATTGTCAGAGACTATTGTTGCATCAGGGTGCATGATTACAGTTTGCTGTCCCTCCATTAGAGTTCCATCATCCTCCAGGAATTGAACTTGAGCTCCTTCTGTACCATCCATAGCTACGACGGTACCATCTTCATTTATGTAATGTATCACATTTCCTTCACCTTCAACATCGCCTTCCTCTTCACCCTCTCCCTCCACTTGATCCATTTCTTCACAATCTTCCACAACTTCTGCTTCAACTTCGGTAGCAACCTCCACTGCCCCTACCTCATCAGCTTCTTCTGGCAGAACTTCTAATCCACCTTCTTCTTCTGATGCTAACGTTTCTGTGCAGAAGAAGCAAGTAAGTGACAAACTTAATTCAAAACTTATTTTCTAAGGAATTAGAGCTGTTACAGGTAACGTCGGGGTGCCAGGGAATGTCCGGATTCCCTAGTGAGAGCTCGAATTCCCTGGCTCCGGTAGGGAATGTCCGTTTGGGACAACTGATACCGGGCAATCACTAGGCAATGTTGGTTGGCCACTAAGGCAAACCCAGCTGCCTCAACAAGTGTATAAACCCCTGACCTACACCCATAATACCTGCACTTTCATTCCCAACATTCCTGGCCACCCCTTTCAGTTAAAGTCCGCTTTCGAACATTCCCTTCCCTGACTGCCTTCATTGAATGTCCATGGCTAACATTGCCTTGAGAATGCCCGGTTTCAGTCGTCCCAAACGGACGTTCCCAACCGTGACCAGGGAACCCGGACTCTCACTAGGGAATTAAGACATTCCCTGACACCCGGACTTTACCTGTAACAGAGCTATAAATTACCTGGTGATTGCTCTGGTCCTGGGCTCTCCACACTGATAGTAAGTTGACCATTTTCACCCACTCTTTGGATGACTGTTGCCACTACAGGAACCTGCACAAATGAGAGACAAATTTGTGTAACAATACTTTTTAAGTTTAAGACTTTAAAGTATCTATTATGAGACAGGTAGGTTATTCTGATCTTGAGCATAATTACCTTGATCTGCACAGCTTTGATTGGGCTTCCACTGTTTGCTGAATCATAGTTTGGTGAGACAGTTATTTTTCCAGCTGATTTAAGATCTTCAACAGTAGCAGGAACCAGCATCTATCATTATAGATAAAAAAAATAAATGTCATACTTTCCTCAAATTTGTGAATTATACACCGGTATGTTAAGGGTAATGGTAGAAGTCGGGTAATGTCAACATGAACCAAAACTTCAGGGTAATGTCATACAGATTATGGCTAAGGTATGATGATCCCCACATTATCCGGCTCGTGTCAGCATTAACCATGGCACACTGGTTAATGTCGAAGTGCCTTGGCAGAGCGGGTAATGTTTGGTTGAGTATGGTACAATCGAATGTGTAACCAGTTTGTTGTCATGCCCGAGCACGTTCTAAAGCCCAAGCAAGTAAACCTAATAGAGAGGCCGCTATGAAGTCTCGTCATAGTGACGTCTATGTTGGAGGCGCACAGAAGAGCTACTGCAAGACAGGTTGTAAAACATCAAAATAAAATACCTCTGCTGAAAAAATTGTAAGAAATGAAACCCAAAATACCATGGTGGGTCCAATTGCACCGAGAAAGATGATTGTGATGATTAGTATTATTGTTTTATGAAATGAATAAAACCGCATGAATAGACATTACCCAACATGTACTAGTGTTAATCCATCTCCAACACATTCAATTTGACATGAGCCAATGTGCCTCGGATAATGTCAAATTAGTTGGTTAAAGTCTCCTGTCATGACATTACCCGGGTAATGTCAACTTTAACTGGGCAACATTAGCCGACTTCCCGAATTTTACCATTACAATAAACAGTACAACAATCTAAAAAATGCCAATCAAAATTTACCTGTTTATTATTTGGTGCAGGCATGACCTTCACTAGAACAGGTATACCTTTAGCAGGTTTAAAAAGAGCAAATGTAGTCTGGCCAGAATCTTTAGCATTCTTCATAGCTTTAGTTTCAATTGGGTCAATTATGACTTCTGATGATGGAGATACCTACCAAGCAAACCAAATTAAATGGGACAGTGATAAGTATCTCAACACATATCAAGGGAAATGGTCAGAGATTCGAAAATGAAAAGAATGTTTACCTTAGTCTCTGCACTCAAAGTTCTAGATGATTGTTTGGTAACTGTATGCTTTGCTCTGGATGTAGCTGCAGTGTTAGCCTTTTCTACATTAAGTAATCTTATAGTCTTCTTTGTAGGTATATTTTCTCTGTAATCACTATAGATTAGTTACAGGTTGAAAGATTAATACAACCACTATTGAGATTCAAAATCTTTTCAATATCAGGGTCAGTGCAGTGAAGAAGAATTTAATCAAGAAAACTTCCTGCAGTTTAACAGCTGAACAGAATTTTCTTACTTACTCATTTCTGGTTTCTTCAGATTCCTCCAAGGCTTTTTTAAGTTGAACTCTATTGCTTCCTCGATAAACTATGCCATGTGTGTACTCTTGATGAAGACGAAGAGCGTATCGTCTTAAAAATTCACTTCCACACATATTGCAAACATGTCTTGATTTGTCACCATGCACATGAGCCTATGAATCAAAAATTGGAAAGTTTGATCTTTTATCTATCAAACAAGGGGAGACAACTGCTCAGATATATCTTACCTTATGACAAACTAGATTAGACATCTGATTAAAGCCTTTCTCACAAATCTCACACTTGTATGGCCTTTCGTTGGTGTGAGTAAACACATGGTTTCTTAAATTGCCTAGAGTCAATATTAAAATTATAAAATAATAGGAAGAATACAATGTTTGCAGGTTGTAATTTGTTGACCAAAAACCATAATTACCTTTCTGGTGAAATCCTTTAAAACATATAGGACACTTGTGGGGCTTACTATCAGAGTGTGTTTTGCGATGAGATATTAAAGTTGACACTCGGTTGAAAGTTTTCTTGCAGCATTCACAAACATAAGGTCGAGCGTCACTATGTATAGCTCGGTGTTGAGATAATGTGCTCATCTATAAGGTATGGAAAGGATATATCATTTGTGAAACCCAGAAAAAAAGTGTTAGCTTTTGGAATCTTAAATGTAATTTTACCTGTCTAAATGCTTTACCACAATCTTCACATTTGTAGTTGCGCTCATCAGTGTGAGTTGGCAAGTGTCTCATCAACGTATATTGATGGCGAAACTCCTTACCACCTAGAAAAGAAGTTTTATAAATAGAAAATGTTAAATGATACTGGCAGCTAAAACAAATAATAATAGGGTTTAATATAAATATACCCATTTTTTCAAGCAATACTAACAAATTCCACACTCCCACATTTTCATGGGTTTGCCTTCCTTCTTAAGATATTTAATATAATGTAATCTACTTCTAGGATCATCTTTATCAACTTTGCGATGTCTTGGATCAACTTCCAAGACATTTCCAGAATCATCTTCTTCACAATGAATCACCTGGTAAATAAAAAACAGTATGAGAAACAAACAAGAGACAGTAAAATAAAATCAAACAGCATGCATGGTACACTGTTTTATCAAGATGCATCAATGAACAGCATGCCATGCATGTATGCTATAACTTGGCAGAAAAAGCATACTAAGCACCCACAGGACCCTTGTTTCGTCACAATGCTTAGCAAGCGCCTTGTAATATCCTATGCTGTTCACAGTATGTCCTCGAACATTAGATTTTCAGTATGAATGGTACTATCAAAGAATAAAGGCAGCACATTTTGCTTCAAATATGCAGAGTCCAGGAAGTACTGCCATTGCTGGTACTTGCAGTTTTTTAGAATGCTTAGTTTTAAGATTTTACCTGTAAGGTTTCAGAATGATCTTGAATGTTGGGGAGGCCCTCCATGACCACTTCTTCCCCATCAAGAAGTTCTTCTTTGTCGAAGTCAATCCCATAACTGTAAAAAGAGAACAGATAATGAAATATTTCTCTATGTGCTTTTGAATCTACTCTGATACTTCAATATACATATTAACTAAGACCTTTCATCAGTGGCACTCTCCATCATTTTTTCGTTGCTTATGTCTTGCAACTCATCAGATTCTCCCTCTTCAACATTTTCATCTGTAACAAAAATATGCTAATAAAACTCTTCCTGTATTCAAAATGATTGATTGATGACCGTAACATGTTTGTAAGAACGTGTTTTCAGATATATACCTAATAGTTAAACTTCAAGACAGAATCGTAAACCCAAATATTTCGAATCAAAGAATGACATGGATGTAAATCGACATAGTTTAAGTTTCTGAGTATGGACGTTTGTTGAATCTTTTGTCATTTATCCCAAGTCATTTCTCTAATGTCTTTTTTTCTTTCATTAACAAAACAGTTTCACTTGTGACCAATTTGTTTGAGGCAATTTATTAGAATTGACCTTTGGCATGAAATGTGAGGGGTGTTTGTAGATTAAAGTTCAAATCAAATAATGGTGAATATTTCACATAACACAAAACTTCACTACAGCAACGATTTCAAATCATAATGTAATGAGTCTGAAAACGAAAGACGCCCTAATGATAATTTTATTTTATTAATCATTTCTAGCTTCACTGCAGGCATCACAAAACGCAAAACAGGCATGGGAAGAGCGTAATCGCAAAATTTACCGCTCTTCTTCGTAAAACGTAAACAAAAACAATGTTTATCAAGTGACAGCTGATTTTCAATCCTTCATTTCTTGAAACTTGAACAACGTTTCAAATTTCAAACGAGTGCAAGACAATTTCGTGCCGTTGAGTCAAGGTGAAGGTAGAGGGGGCTTAAGGTGTGCTGAGGTTATATTTCGGATGGTAGTGTATTTGTGCATTAGTAGTGCTGCTTGCTCTACTTGGACGATATTATCAAAATGAAAATAGGATAATTGTTGTTATCATTTGGTTTCAGTCAAAACAAAAGACTCTCAGTCGCTAGTCTTCTGCACAAAGAACACAAGACGATCGTGACAAGAGAAGTCTCAACCAAATTCCGAAAGAAACGCGTTCTTACCTTCATATTGATGATCTAGTTCAGCACTTTCCATCATTTTCTAATCATTCACTCTATCATTTTAAGAAAATGAACGTTCCAGCCGGAGAGAGGCCAATAAAACTACTTCGCTAGCGAAATTAACGGCAAAAATAGGCGTTGGATAAAGCTAAGTAGTCTTTTTGAGAGCATAGCATTTCGTGAGGGTGGGGGTTGTTGGATGGATGGGGTGGGGGATGGGGAGAGGGGGGAGGAGGGAGATCGGGAGATCTCATGAGAGGGGTTCTGCCGCGGCCGCTAGAGTGCGCTGGTAAAGAACTGCAGGCCGACCTTCCATTTCCTTCTCTCTTGAGCACATCCTGGCTGACTTTTCAAAAAGGACAAGAAAACAGAGAGGTCTGTCTTCCCTTCCCTCGAGTCCCGCTGGCCTCCAGTACAATTGAAAAAGATAGATGAGCAGGAAAAATACATCATCTTTACGAGACCGTAAGTAAGACACAAGTTATGCTATATCCAAAATCTATTTATTTTATTTTTTTAAATTAAACAAATTATAAGACATTTCATCCAAGGGCACAATGGGCAGCATTCCTATTAGGCAGTTAAGACAGTTTTAAAGGGGTTTTGTGCATAGCTTTAAACTTTTAATAATTATGACAGCTAAACCTATCGCAGGCCTATAATGATTAAATCCTAAGACTAACGCCCTCCTGAAGCAGATTGCTTGAAACATTAGAAAGCATGAGTATACAAGTCAGAAACAGCAGTGAATTTAAGACTTCTAAATAAAATCCTGTCAGTCTTTCATAATGGCTTAAATACTGTTAAAATCAGACAATTTATAGAAAATGAAATCTCATCTGAGCACTTACAGTTTATAACAGTTTAAGAGGGAATGTTCAAAGATAAAAACCCAAGAAAATAAAGTGAAACTTTGATCAATACTTCAGAGAAATTAAGGAATGGATCCTAATACACAGCTTATATCAGGTGTGCCTTTTAAATATGTTTCTGCAAGTCTTGCTTGGGGAATAAAACTGTAGTTGGACATGGTAAGTACAGTGTTCACTACGATGCATCCGTGCAACAAAGACAGGGATCAAAATGTAGTCGCCCAAGGAGGTAGGATCAGAACATGAGTGCTGAAGAAAGACGGGTGTGCTTTCCACTGATATCAACATACTCGGATTTGGTGGTCCCTCCCTCACAAATCATGGAAATGCTGTACCGTTTTGAGTGGAAAACCATTCTGATTGCCAATCTTGTGATTAAAAAGAGACAACACCCAATATGATACAACGTCTCTATGAGAAGTGAGACGCCTCCAAAGATAAAGATGAACAGATTGGCATAAAGAATGTGTCTTTCTTGAGGAACCGTGTTCAAATCCATCTTCTATCTTTCTTAAGCAATTGCTTGCTGATCCGCCTTTCTTGCATGGATGCGTCGAATACCTAAAGTACCCCTACCAAGTACAAAGTACCTACTACTATATAATCCCCACATTCCCAATAAAGACAAATTAATCAGTAAAGCATATTTTTGGCCACTGTGATCAATATAAAAAATTGCTGTTGATCTTAAGTAGCTGAAGCAATTCTGTATCCTTAATTTGGCAATTTAACCATCGTGTTGGTTAAAAATAATGAGAGAAAAAATTTAAAAATTCCCTGGAAACATGTTATAGATTTAACAGCACATTAATGCACCTCAATGAAAATCTACTAAAACAAAGGTAATTTTTAGGTAATAAACCTAAAAAAAAAATTAATAAAAATAATACCTTTCCACATAGTACCGTCAAAGTTGAAGTACAGGGTACTAAATTGCCACAATCATCATTAAGTAAAGCAAATTGTTACAAATTAAATCTTGGTCACTTCCTGCTCATATAAAAATAGATTAGATAGATCAAAGGTGGGTTGCTAGAGTAATCTACTACAAAACCTTGGTCTTTCATTACATTCCTCATTAAATCTCTTGTGTATATTGCTTATAAGGAGCGGCGAGTATACAATAAATAACTAATATGAAAATAAGATCAGTTCATCAATGCTTTCCACACTGTCTGATGCAAGGGCAAAGGGCAGTCCAAATCTTAAGATGAGGCTAGTAGGCAAGATAATGCATGATTAACCTTGTAAACTTCAGTCAATATGTTGTTGAAATTAAGAGCTATAATATTCTTCAGTTATAATAGTCACAACTGCAATTACCATCCACATTAATGTTTAAAACTCACCAGAATACAGAGAGTTAATAAAAGTCACAACCTATTTGGGTAAATAAAAAATACCCAACATAATTGTTGAGGGAGGGATATAGATATAGGATCAGTACTGTAGAGCAGTTCACTGTTTTCTTTTTTTGTTGAGGGGGGGAGGGGAACTTTGCTAGACAGCTGGTGAGTTACTCTCTTTTTAAGAATACAGCAGCAATCAGCAACAGTATGTGGACATTTGCTCAATGACAAAAAAACAAAAAGTCATCTTCCAAAAAGCAATGTTTGCTAACCACATAGAACAATCTCTAGAGTAACAATAGGAAAAAAGGAGTTTTGCTTCGCAAGAAGAAGTTAATTAGGCTATCCACCACAACCACTCTTGCTGATCAAATATACTACTCTACATTTTGCCTGTTTCCAATACTTTTTGACAGGTCTAAATAAGGAGAATACACCAGAAATATTGCACTGGAACAGTACAGAATATAATAAGGGATCCTAACAGTTAATTTCAACGTTTAAGCTTTCACAAGTTCCATTGCCCAGCAAGAGAGGCTCAATCAAGGATGTTGTATTACCTTAGAGTTCAAAGTTCTCAAATGAACCCTTGCACTACACAATACTTATCAACAAGAACAACAATCACAATAAAATTTGGCAAAGCTAAATCACACAAAATTCTAACAACCAATAAAACTTGACCTCTTTAAAAATGTCAACAATTAGTCCTGGTGAGCATTTCGTGCTCTTGATGGCTTCAAAGCCTTTCTGACCAAGGGTGCATACAGATGCCACCCTAAAAATAGAAGGTATCCGGAGAAATAGACACTTTTGTAAACAGCCCAGTACCGATTAAATGAAAGAAGAACAAAGGGCACTAAGCAGTATCCCATGAAAATAAATGTGTATAATTTTAAGATAACCCACACGATGGGTGAAACAAAAGGACTTGATAAAAACATCGTTGCTTTCTCATTTCTAGCCAAAATACTTTCCACCTGTAATAGGAAATCAACATTTAGTCACCTTGCTTCTTTAACTAAAATGGATAGAAGAAAACAAAGCATGATAATACAGCATATATAAAAGTACATACCTCCTTCTCCATAAGCATCACAACAAACTCATTAAAGAAGCAGACATAGTACCCAGAATGGAAGCCATGCCAAACAGCAAGGAAGGCCAAAGCACCACCTTGGGAGGCTAATTTGCTGTTCAAGAACTTTAAACGTTTGTAGACATACCTGAAAAGGAACAAAATACATATACATTTTTTCTTTATGAGAACTACATTTTAATTCAATTAATTTCTACATGTTCTCAGAGGGTTCCTGTACTTACTGGGCTATCCAGTGATTTGTATTGGTATTAAAAGCCATGATGTAATGGTTGAATTTTGTGCAACCTTCAAAAACTGAAAGCTGAACATTGGCGCACCCATCCCATTTTTCAATATTATTTTCATCTTTACCACTATATGTGATTCCTACAAATATTAAAAAAAAATAAAAAAATATGTAGATTCTTAAAAAAATCTGCAAATCACACTAAGAAAGAATCTTACCTGACATTATGCATACTCCTTCTGTAATTAACCAGCATGAAATGTATTTGTAAAGTGCTGTACGAGCCCACAGACCAAGCATCACATGTTTCATAAGGAAACCATTTTGCTAGAAAACATAAGTGAAAAGTAAGAGAGAGTTCTCAAGAATCAATTAATTACACTCACATTTCTTTGGTTGAAGACAAAATTGAAACAAATAGCTTACTTGGAAAGTTTCAGTATCTGGGTACATATCTGGAACCCATATTGTTAGCACCTGGTAAATGCACAGGTATAAAGTGCCAGTACCAAAGCGGATGAGGGCTGGTCTAACACAATTAGGCAGCTTACTGCTGTTTGTCTACAATAATTCATGTTAAAAATTTATCAGGTATGGCAGATTATCAGCACTAATATGGTCAATACAAATAATAACTAGTTAAATGAAACTTACATTTGGGATAAGCTTTCCAGACACAAAATTTTGATATCTCTTCATGTGGAATTGTGGACCAACAAGGAATGCCGAGGGGAAAAAAGAATGGGCAAGTAATTCTAGTATTGATGGTTTTTCCTGGAGGGCTGACTTCTTGTTTTCTGCAGATAAAGTTTCCTGAAAATGATAGCACGAGAAAAGCAATTTTTAAGTATCACAACCATGTACAGCATCTGTGTAATAGATACATAATAGATGACACCATCTTTTTTTACCTGCTTTTGGGCTCCATCATACAAATCTATAGCTACTCCAGTCAATCTTAATGTGAGCACACAGTGTGGCATAGTCCACTTTATATCATAAACATCGGTGCTTGTGGCAAAATACCCTACAAGTTTACAACTCTTATTAAAATTGGTAAGTAATCAAATTCAATACAGCCTAAATTGATGCTTTGAATTTGAATTCAGCTAGCTATCTTCCTTGAGAACACACAGTATAATTCTTGAACACTTACCGTACAATAAATAAGTCATAGTAAACACCAGGGTTGCAATTGCTCCAAGGAATGACCCTCCAAATAATAATAAGATGCCATATACACCAACTACTGTGCCAATTAAGTGGAAGGTGTCCCAGCCTGATGTAAGAAATAAATTAATTTGACATTGAGAAAATGTAGAAGTACAGGGGAATAACAAATTAGACTTGTACACACACCATAGCAAAATGATGAAATTAAAAACCCTGTGCAAATAAACAGGAGATGCTGCAGCACAGGAGACCTTCCATATAAGAAATGCCGGTGAATCAGAACTATGGGATAGCCTGCAAACAAAGACAGAATGAAATACAAGAAAAGAAAATTCACGTCAAACTATGAAGACGATTCAAAACTAGGATAAACTAAATAAATACAGATCACAGTTAATAGTGAATGTGGGATTCAACATCACACCATTCAGTTAAAATTAACACTTTCCATACGGTAGATCTACACCCGTCGATACAACAACATGTCCTAGTTGTGCCTTTAAGGCCTTCTATCATAACTCTATCATAAAATTTTGATAGGCCCCTGATAAAGATTAAAACCCCCTAAATTTAGTAGGGTCGCCTGTGAGGGGGATGCAAACAAGAAAAAAAAGGCACGGAAAGTGGTAAGATGAGGATCATTGCAAAATGATGGAACAAAGATCAGAATTAAAAGTTACTGGAGAAAATTATTTTAATGATGACAATGCAATATTAAACTTATAATAAAATGAGGTCAACTGAAAGTCAGTTGAACTAAACAAAGCTAAAATAAACAGTAAGTAGATTTCAAATAAATTTTCACTTTAGTAAACAAAGAAAAATACGCATATATGCCCCTAATTTACTTGAATATTCAGTGAATATTAAGGGAAAGTTCGAATACTGATGCAACATGTTCAAATATCATATTTCAAAACCAAATTGAGGCTTTTCTATTTTTAACCAAATACTTTGTAAGAAATACTGAAACGGGTAGAAAAACACACGCCTTCGTTGATCATGTCTTAATAAATTAGCTAGGATGTGTCAGAAATAATCATATTTTATGGAGGTTATGAAGACGTCTTCTGCTGGCCAACGTACCCAAGAGGATAGAGAGAAGTAGTCGTAATGCATGCTCTGAGGTTCCCAAAGTGTCTCCCAGATGACTTAAAAGGGAAGCACCTGAAGAGCCAGGGGCACTCATCTTGACCAACTTAGTGAACAGTGAACAATAATGAAGCGCAATTTCCTAATTCAATCTCGGTCTTGACAGTTCACAGTCCAGCCACTCCGGGTGGCGCGACGTCCGAGACGGGGGACCCGGGAG